AATGATTTTACTTAAAGGGGACCTATCATGCAAAATGCACTTTGTGATGACTTTTATACAGTACATGTGTCCCCCCGGTGCGTCGGGGAACTCACGCAGCGTCAGAAAATAAAACCCTCTCTCTTTTCTTCCGTACCCAAATTTTATAAAAACGGGTGTACAACGAGTGGATACAGATTTCCATCCAAACTGACGTGTCCATCCGAACTGACGTGTCCATCCGAACTGACGTGTCCATCCGAACTGACCTGCAGCGGACCCACAGAAAGTTGCTATCAGAAACAATGCCTAACGTGTTTTGGACGTAATCTCGTCTTTGTTTACATTAGCAAGCCTCGCTAACACTCAGAGCTAACCTGTAGAGCACATGTGTTTAAAAAGCAGGAAATTAAAAAAGAACTCACCTTATGATAAACCCACAAGACAAAAAGCATTTGAGCTCCATACTGTTTCAGAAATAATCTTTGATGTGGTTTAGAACAGAATGGCGTTTTATCACAGCAGAATTTAACTTTATCTCCGTTATATCAGGCATTAGCTCCGCCTCCTCTTCTTTCTTTTTTTTCAAGCTAAGGACCCAAAATCTGCGTTTCTCTAACAGGGCTGCAAAAGAGGGGTTTGAGCAGTATGAGGCATGGCTACAATGGGTGATCTGTTTGGTATTTTGAAAAAAATACTTCACAGACATGTTTTGTATAGGTATGGCCCTACAATATATGTTTCAAATATAGCATGATAGGTCCACTTTAAAGAACAAGCACTAAGGCTTTTTTGTTGGGGCTGTCAGCATGCATTATGAAAAAGTATAGTTAAATTATAACTTTAACGTAATTGCCTCTCATTCTCTGGCCTGTCATCATTTTCAGGCAGAGCTGGATGTACTGTATAGACAGAATAAACTGTTGCTGGCTTCAGTCTTTCCTTTATAATGTGTAGAAAATAAGAAGAGTGATTGAAATAGGAAAATAACAAGGCAAACGGACAAAAGTGGATTTATTGCTCTTTTTACTGGCGGACCATTAGTGTGTACTGACATTCTCCTCATTTGTATTTCTCACACACAATTCGATATGAGTGGTCCTGAGAGGATCACAGGGGGTTTCACTGTTATGATCAGGGTCTCCTTTGTTCCCCAGAGCCCCTCGTTGTTAGCCGCTCTCTTCATGCTTGCCCCCTGACCTTCATAATATCCTGTCGTTTTTCTAAACTGTCCACTTCCATCTCTCGTTATCTGTCTTTCTACTTTCGGCTGTTTGTCCCTCTTCCATTCACTTCCTGTTGTCCTGGGGAAAGTGAGCATAACTTTGCCTGACAGCAGCTTCAGAGGGAGAAACAGGACCGCAGGTTGAGCCACAAAGCAAAATAACAAGCTACCAAACTATTGCTGAGATCCTTTCTTTATACCCTCCCCCTTTTCTGCCTCCTCTTGTTATTTATTTATCCATCCATCCATGCATGGTTTGTATGAAAGCACAAATAGCCGACCTTTCTTTTTAAAGCTTGGGACTGTCAGGATGAACTGTAATGGACATAGGGATTTATTTCTGGATGTCTTTTTTTTACCAGTAACTTTCAGACTCTGACAAACAAAATCACACTGAAAGCTCAACCTGTTCCAGATACAGTCGGGAAAATGTTAGGTAGTGAAGTCTAAATAAGTTTGCTTTGCTTTTTGTGTCTACTCTACTGGCTTTTGAAATCTTAACCTGTCTTTACTCATGATTCAAAACAATGATTTCAAAACCTCAAATGGACACTGACAGCAAACTGTAAAAAGCTAGTTTACTGTTGACTAACTGCTCAATTTCAAGCGTGAATGGCGCAGTAAACTGTAGTTGTCTGTTTGCTTCTCTGCAGTAAATTCTGCTTCAGATGGAGGACTGTTAGTGTGTGAGACGCAGTTTAATGCATGAGTGATTCTCTCTCTTTTTCCGCACGGTTGCTCTGCTTTTATCTTGCCATCTTTAAAACGCTCTGTCGGGTTAACTCTGAAAGATGTGTCTGTGTGTGAAAGTGTGTTAATGTGTGTGGGTTTCCATGTGGGTTTGATTGTTTGTGAAACATGTTTACAGCATACAACACAAGCATCTAAAGTCCCTTACACACCAAGCCGATTTCGGCCGTCGATAGATGTCGGGCCGTCGATGAGCGTCGTGTCGCCCTACTCAGATTGGTGTGTCTTTTCGGCCGTGCCGACACCTTCCGCCGCCGATTCAACATGTTGAATCGGGAGGCTGTCGGCTAAAGGCCGTCGGCCAAATAAATCACTCTGATTGGCTGTTCAGCTTAGCGAATCAGTGCATGAGAAGCGAAACGGAAGTTAGGGACCCAAACAAACTATTAAGAAGGCAAATCTGAGATTTTATTTAACTCCAGCTCTCGACACAGGTTCGGGAAAGTGTTGAAGTGTGTTCATACTAGGGCTGCACGATATATCGTGTCGTGGCGATAATCGCGGTATGCGCATGCGCGATACTCACGTCGCGTGGACGTGCGATTTTTTCTTTTTGGACTTGCGATATTAAGTAGGTAAATTAACTCCAAACACGTCATGTTACAATTATTTTGCTGCTGGAAAACTTGCTCGGCTCTCATGTCAGTGGTACTTGAGTGTGTGACATGCAGGCTCTGCATGCACAGCAAGCCACCAATCACAATCAAATCTCCAAAGCAAACGGACCCGGTGATTAGAGGTAAAAACACTGAATAAAGTAGTTTCATGTGTTTCTCCAGGGCAGTTTGGCGCTGCTAACCGAGCTAGCTCAGCTTGTTGCTCTGATAACTTAAGATCCAGACGTCCGTGACTAAAATCCTTCATCCGGTTAAATATAGTTAAAAAAATACCAATTGCATTAAAGTTCAAGAAAGCCTGGTTTGCGGGGAAAAAAACGGTCTTTTCTTCAATTCCTGTATGTTTTCTTATCGCAATATATATCGCAGGGGGGGGGGAAATCGCAATGTCAGTTTTTTCGAATATCGTGCAGCCCTAGTCCATACGTGTCAATATAGTCTGTACAGTCTGCCACATACCGCTCTACTCCATTCTATAATATTGTATTCCCACTCTAATTGTGTTCGGTTTTAATTTAATATCACAAAATGTGTTTTCCAATGTCTTTCATCTCTTTTCCTGTGCATCTCCTGTCACTTTCATTACCGTATTTCCTTTTTTCCATACTCTTCTGTACATTTCCTCTCTTCCTGTTTCTATCTCTCTTTTCAATCCCTTTCTCTATCTCCTTGCTCCTCTTCAAGTTATACATCTTGTTAACCCATTCTTTTTCTGTCTTTAGTCCACAGCATCATCAGCGGAGGACGACAAATCTCAGCTGTCCATGAGGCCCCAAACCCCCCAGGAAGGCGTTGAGGGAGAGGAGGGGTACAAGGTTGACGGAAAGATTGTATGGAACAAGGGCGCACCCCTCCCCACCCCGGAGCAGAAGATGAGGCTGGCGGCTCAGGCCGTAGCCACAGACATCGTTGCTATCAACGTCACAGGTATGACCTCTTCGCAAACCTCTGTCACATAACCATTCTTTTCCCATCTCTCAATCAGTAGCGAGTAGCGACCAGCTACCAGTGTTTGTAGTGGAAAACAAATCTCCTGATCCTCTAGTTTCATACAAAAAAGCAACGTAGAAAGATTTAACTACTAGATCTGGTCTCAATCATCCCCTGGTGTCTAGTTCAGTAACATTAACCCCACTCCTCCCATCATACATTGTGTTTTGTTTGTTATCAAGGAACTTTCTGACTTTTTAAAACATTTTAAATCACTGAGACTTTGATGAAAAGATCAACATTATTTTACAGTCTTTTATTTGTTTTAAATTAGATTACAAGGTCAAAGCCTAGAATACAGCTGCAACTTATATACAGCAGTTGAGGTAGATGGGAAATGTCAGTAGTTTTTATGTCAGAGTATTGGACAAATGAATACAAATGATGACCTGGTGGTGGCGCTATACTATGAACCAGCTATCATGTTTATTGAAATACAGTTTTTAATAATTTCAAAACTGCCATATTAACATATGAAATCTTCAGATTCTACTGGTCTTCTCATCTAAATCTCAGGAAGGAAGCAAAATGGAATGAGCCAAACAGGCAAAATGTCAGACTGTTCCTTTAATTAACCCTCTGTGGATGAGTGGATTATAGACTGATCAATTACTGTATCCATGCATCCACACAGGAAAAACCTGTATGTGTCAGTCTGTCTGCCTCTCCTCCTGCACCCCCGTGTATATTCTCTCCTTCCATCATGCTCCATGCAGACTGACCTTCACCTTCCTTTATGCGCGTGTGAGCGAGTGTCTGTGTGCAGAAATGGTTTGACAGCTCCTCCAAGGGTCAAGGCTTTTCACTGACTTGATGTCAGATCACAGGGCGTTTGATAGATGAACACAGCGAAACGTGGCGATGCAATACCCCTGTTTGCATGTCACCATTTTCTGCGCTATCGACCACACACACAAAGAAATAACATCTCATTCTGCCAGTTCTGGTCATTAAGAATACACTGTAGCATGTCTGATGCTTCACGAAGACATTTCGTATGACATATAAACAGATGAGCATCACCTCAAACGCAGTTCAGTATCAACCTCTACATTTAAAGTGTTGTCAAAGGGAATACAGCTGCAATCCTGTCGTCCTTCAGACACTAATGACTGCTTAATGTGGTCCCACTCCACATAAAGCACTCATCTCCTGTCACTTTACATTACTCAGAAAGAGAGAGGAAACACACACACACATACTGACACACGGAGAGAGATCAGGGATTTTTCTGCCCCTCATATCAATTTCTATTTCCCTAACGCCTGCTGGCTGTCACCAGCTAGCCAAATAGCAGAAGGGAGAGCAGAAGGAAGAATGTTACTCTTCCTTCAGGGAGGATGGGTTGAAAGTGAGGAGGATGAATGTGTGTGCGTGCATGCTCCTACTCATATCTGTTCTGTGCATGTGTATTTTTGTGATAAGAGCATGTATTTTACATCTCACATTTCTCACATATATGTTAACACCTCAGTTGGGAATCATCAGAAACCTTCAGATTAAATGTGTACTTTTTATTTTTGAAGCCAGTGTTTCCATTAATGGCCATTATATTTGGCTGGTGGAAGAAGAGTTAAGGGGTCAGCTCACCCTAATAATAGTCAAACAATTTAACTTTCTTTTCTTTTTTTGCTTTATAATACAATGCAGAATTTTTAATGTGGTATTTGCCCAGAATTGGTTAGCCTATTAGAATGGAATTTGATTTGTGGCGCACGCGTTGATTTACCAGCCTTTCAAAATCCTGTATTGATTGGGCAATAGTTGAAACTACATATTAGTCCTTACAAAACTCAAACTTGGGCAAAGAAAGACAAAACGATATGCCTAGCTAGATACCACTGAAGGGAACTGTTTTATTACATTTGGTTAAACTGACAATTAAGGTCTCTACCTGCTGCATGTTAAAACTGAAAAACACAAAAAGCATTCTGCATGTTGTTGAGTTTGTTCCTTTCAACTAACCGACTGCTCTTTGCCTGTGTGTCCGCCTGCGTTGTTCTCGCCCTCCCGGCTACCAGGGGCCGTGTTTGACCGGCAGGCCACCGTCCGGCGCTCCCTCATTAACTCGGACACCGTGTCCCGCCGGCCCAAGAAGGTCAAACGCAGAAAGACTATATCAGGGCTGCCTGACAACTTCAACCATGAGCTAGGTATGGATCACTGTGGGGATATATGTTGCCCTGTACTGTCCACAGACCTGTACCAACACTCTGGACCAGCATCCCTCCTTCTTTCACTACTTACTATAACCTTACTCACTATGCATTTTTGCCTAATCCATTAACTTTAAACATTAAGTGGAGAATGAACTCACCCCACCAGTATTTTCTGAGAAGGGGAGGGAGAAAATGTCACATGCAAGTCCAAAGTGTTGGATCGGGGCCCTGCAGATGTTCAGCTGTTTCAGTTCTTCATACAGAGTGTCCTCATTTGCTCTCCTCCACCCTTTTGAACTGTACGCACAACCAGGGACCCATTATGACATTCTTTTCACTTGTATTATTTCCCCCCTTTTTTGTCCTTAAATTTGCATTTATTTAATCTCATTTTAGATGTTTTTCTCATGTCAGATAATAAAGGTTAAGTGCAGTACCATTGTTATATACATATTGTGCTATAATCGTTCAGCTTAACTATCGGCTGTGCTGCTTCTGTGAATTGTGTCTTTAAATTGTGTCTCTGTGCCTTAATCCTAGGGCTATATATTGATAATCTAGCATGTGTCCCATGTGTTTTTATACTTACCAACATGTACTGATTATGAGACCCTGATCAAGGAAAACCGTCCCCCCCCCAACCCTCATCATTTTACAAAACATATAACCCTCAAGCGCTCCAAACAGATGAGGGTTAAATAACAAATATGAAGCTCCAGTAGACTCCTTTCCTTAGTCACACAGCTGAGAGGGGTGTTAAGCGTGCGCTAAGCTTACTAAGCTGACACTGCTGTGCTGGCTGATGTTTATTTACACATCTCTGATCTGTAGGACAGCAGACATATTTAAGGTAATGTCATTTCTCTTTGCGATAACCAAGGCTGATATTAAAGGAGCTTTAGAGTCTGGTTAGTGACCAGCTGACGACAGCCTCTGAATGTCATGATTACTGGGCCGGGGTAATTGTCCCAGTGCTTCATCCCTCCCTCTCCTTGTACAAGAGCTGCCTGCAAAAGTAGACCTGCAGCTTAATCTATCGCAGCAGCAGCAGCAGCCAAGCTGTCACTCCAGCTTTTAGCAAAGGAGGAAGAGAGTGTATGTGTGGTTCAGAGAGAGAGAGAGAGAGAGAGAGAAAAAAGAGGACGCAAGAGTGTTTGTATGTTTTGGAATACGAGCATCAACAGGAGAGGCACCACAGATGGGAGACACAATAGACATCATCTCCCGTTTTACAACTCGTTCTTCAAATTGTTTGTTTACAAGCCGGTATGTTCGGTGTGTGTGTCTTTGTGATATCTGCATTTCTGTGTGTCTCAATGTCTATCTGCAAATGCTGTATGCTCTGTCCTGTGTCAGTGCATGACCATGTCAACACTGTGTATGTCCGTGTCCATGTATGCATTAGTTGGCTGCCTCGCAACTAAACAGCTGCCTGTCCTGGACCCCACGGTATAATTCGCTTTTCTGTCGGACTGAGCCAGACTAGGAGAGGAAGCTTAGTGAGGAGTCTTTCTGTCTCCCCTCATATCCTTTCCTCCTTAACGAAGAAGACCAGGAGTTATTAACGCATGTGACGGTTACAGAAAATCTAATTAATTAGCCTCCATGTGACCACAGTTTAGCTGTCCAGGCAGAAGAGCAGAAGCATTGTGGCTGAAGTTTTAAGAGGGGAGATATGCTTAGTGGTGCTCGAAGAGAAAACAAGGTATTCTGATCAATAATAACATGTTTTATTTCCCCCCCCCTTTGACAACAGCAAAAGGAGATCTCCGACCGCATTCCATGTTCATCCCGGGACAGTACTCCACCTTGGGCAGAGTTGGGAGCGTCAACTCGATGCTCCGACATTCGGTCACCAGAGACTCCGGCTGCCAGACAGAAGACGTGAAGGTTGTGCCCCCGTCCATGAGGAGGATCCGGGCTCAGAGAGGACAGGGGATCGCGGCTCAAATGGCCGGCATTTCTGCTTCCTCCTCAACAGGAAGTATATCCATCTCGAGCAGTGACAGCTCGGGGATCATGATGCTGCCGCAGTACAACAGAGATCTTTCCCGTTTTCACAGTCTGCCTCGACCGGGGGCCAGAGTGTCTCTCAGTGCGGACCCCATCTATAGCAGCACCCCCATCAAGTCAGAGGAGCAAACTACGCCTCAGAGGCAGATTGGGAGGCTGCAGGTTGACGACACGGTGGTGCACATGAGAAATGCCCCAAGGACAGGCACCCTTCCCCGGCCCAAGTCTCAGGAGCTGAGGGGGGTGAAAGCCAGTGATTGGGGGGGCGGCCCGGCATGTGTGGTCTCCCCACATGCTGCCTATTCCACCTCCCTCCTCCCCAACGCCACCCTGTCCAGCTCCTCTGAGGTCATTATGCTCAACACCTCTGGTCCCTCCCCTTCCTCATCTTACCCCACAGCTCGTCCGCTCAGTCTGGCTTCCTCCACCAACACAAACCCCATGAGCCCCAGCCCAACCTCTTTTACCCACAGTTCCACCTGCCCAGCCTTGGCCACCTCGACCCCCACTCACCCACTAAGGGATGGCGGTCTGGTGGTCACAGCACCGGCCAGCGAGTTGGGGCACTCTGACAGTAGTATACACAGCCGCAGCACCTTGGCTCCCACGCCGCCCTCCGGACTGCCAGAGGAACAGTGGATCTACGACACGCCAGAAAACATGGTGCTTCCACACCGCACCTTGACCTCCAGCTGCTCCACTCCCATAAACCAGCTGTACGGCAGCCTGGACCACTCCTCCAGGACTACTACTGACTCCAGCTCCCTCTATTCCCAAGACAATGACGGATACTACACCTCCATGCACATGGACTCAGGCCTGCGCTCTCGCAGCCATGGCAGTGGGCACGGAGCGGCGCCTGCACGGGCCACCAGGCACAGCATGTACGAGTGCCGGGAGATGGCCAATCAGGAAGACACTGGAAGCTTGTACAGTGATCGCTCGCTGTCACGGAGCATCTCACTCCGCAAGTCCAAGAAGCCTCCGCTGCCTCCAGCTCGCACAGACTCTCTCAGACGTAAGACCTCTGTGAAAAAGCCCCTCGGAGGCGTAAGCGCCATCAGCGGTGCTAAGGAGCCAAACGGAGCCATGCTCAATGAGACTCTAATTGCCAGCTTGCAGCAGAGCCTGCAGATGGGGCTGAGAGGAGGGAAGGGGATAGGGGCTTCGCCTTCCTCGCCCTCTCACAGCCCATGCAGCGACTACGATGACCCTTGGGTGCTGCGGCCACGCAGTCAGAGTAGCACCAGTGCATGTAGCTCTGCAGCGTCGCTTGTAGCTAATGCCAACTGTGGCGGCGTGTCTAGCGTGTATTCGCTCTGCCATGTGACGCCTGCTCAAAGCGACACCAGCAGCTTGCGCTCAGACTATGCTGATTCCTGGGGCTACTACATGGACTACCCGCGTAACCAAGGAGACCAGAGGGCACACTCCCCTCAGGCTCATGGCACAAACAACATGTTGGCCGAGGCTCACCCCGGAGAGTTAAACAATGGAGGTGAGATCCTGAACGGCAGCCAGGCGCCTGGAGCTCCAGGGCAGGAGGGAGGCGTGGCAGCGAAGCCCAAGATGTCCACCTCCTCCCCGGACCGGGTGCACAGACTGACCTCGCCGTCCAGCGGCTACTCCAGCCAGTCCAACACCCCCACAGCTGGGACCCCCGTCCCCTCGTTCATCAGGTCCATGTCTCCCTCGGGGACCCGGCCCAGGCCCAGGGTGCCCGAGAGGAAGTCCTCTCTCCTCTCCTCTGTGTCCATGTCCTCCTCTTCCACCTCCCTCTCCTCCAACACCTCCGACTCAATCAAAAGCTTCGGACCTCCTCCCCCACCACCTCCACCCTTGTCACTCCTCTCCTCCTCAGCTCCCACCACCCCTCTGAGCCCAACTCCATCCTTTCCTCCCCCTCTACCGCCAAGCTCCATCGCAGGCCCCCCTCCTCCTCCAGCTCCCCCGTTACCAACCACTCCCCAGGGTCAAACACAGAGCCCACCCCCTGCTTCCTCCACCTCCCCTGATTTCCCCCCTCCTCCATCCCCTGATACACTATTCCCCTCCAGTTCATCCTTCAATGGGAGCTTCAGTCCTCCCCCTCCACCTCCCCCGCCTATCCCCTCTATGGGGCCCCCTCCACCTCCTCCATTGCCTGCTTTTGTTCCACCTTTCTCCTCCCCAGCCTTTCCTAAAGCAGCTCTCTCCACCAGCCCTACGAAGTCACCTAATCCCCTGGTCACCCCGTTTGCGCTGCAGAGCGTTCAGCTCCGCTCTGTCAGGCGGCCAGAGAAGGAGATGAACGGCACGTCAGGCCACAGCAAAGCTCCGGGAACAGGGCTGGACCTCCTTCAGGGTCTCAAGCCCCTACAGAAGTCTCACTCCCTGGAGCATCCCACTATGCTGTCAAACGGCTCCCTAGAAGAAGAAGATTCTCGTAACTCCTCACCATCCCCTGTCTCAAAGCTCTTAGAACACTTCCCTTTTGACTTCAGTATCACAGAAGACACGACAGATAGTGCTGTCCTAAATGGACAATCTGAGGATCAGAGTTACTTTGTCTTACACAGAAGAGAAAAAGCAGAAGAGCAGAATGTATTGCCAAGCCCCCCACAGAGCTCTGACAGCTCCCCTGTCAAACAGAAGCCCCCAGTCGTCTCCAAGAAACCCAAAATGTCTTTACTCCACCAATTTAGCCCCCAACCAATCATTGAACAGATTCCATCTCAGCATGAGGGCACAACCAGCCCGTTACAGACAGAAGACCAAGTGGATGCGCTGCAAAGAGAAATGAAAGAAGATAACAAAAGTGAGCAACAGGAAGAAGAGGAAACTTCAGAGACCTCCGAGGTTCAAGCTAAGAGCCGTGACACACCTGCTGCTGCTGCTGCTGCCGGCCAATCAAGTCCTGACCATGCGGTGTATACCAATGGAGAGGCTCGCGATGAGGAAGAGGAAGAGGAGGAGGGAGATGGAACAAGTAGCACGACTGGGTCCGTCAGCTCCAAGGAGGACGACACAGGTGAGTTTTACAGAAACCATTTTACTCTCTAATGTTTTTTTATTAAAAAAAAAAACAACTCATTTTAGATTCAGGCCGCTGTGAAACGAGTGTTGCCCTCCGAAGCAAAGCGTCCAAACTTCAAACCTCAAGCTTTTCAAAACTGTGAAAATCGCTCAGGAGCCGCAGCTTATCTCTGGGACAGCCTCCTCTCTGACTCTCCCTGCTACATTTCATATGCAGAGATCTCTTGTGGTTACTGTCCCTTCCTTTTCCCTGCA